TCTTTTTTTTTTTTTTTTTTTTTTTTGTTAAGTGGGTTTTGGGTAGTGGGCTTGTTTTTTGGGTTTTTTTGAGTTTTGGGTTTGGTTTTGGGTTTTGTTTTGGGATTTTGGGCTTGGGTAGTTGGTAAGCTTTGGGTTTTGATAATTTAGTGGGCTTAATTGAAATGGGTTGGTGTTGGGTTTGTAAATTAATCTTGATGAATTTCTTCCTTCCAACTTTTAATTTCTTCAATTGAGTCCTTTTTTCTTGTTTTCTTTACCATCCTCTTCGCGAAATCCCCTTTTTACCCATATACCTAACAATAAAAGCAAAGATAACAATATATTAGTTAAAATAAAATAAAATAAAATCCCATTAAAAATTTGAGTTATGACACATTGTCTGGTATGTATTAAAGTTAGAGCTGACGTGATTATCTTCCTCTTCCTTATCTATGAGCAAGCTAGCGGAAGCTTCACACTCTCACTAAAACATATGGCTAGGGGAATTTCAACTCAATTTGTTCAAAAAAGGAAGTTGATTTCTCAATTGCTGATAACTATCTTTGAAGCAACTTCAACTTCTTTTTGGCTTTAGATTACATGCACAATGCGAGAAAAAAAAAAATCTCTTCTTGTTGTGCTCCACTCCAGGTCTATTATTTTTCAAATAGGGAATTCCATCATCACTGTTGGAACTCTAGCGATGATGTGACTAAGGCCAACATTCCAGCCATATATCTACAACGTTTAAAGTCATCACTCGGAGCATTATCATCGACAATATCAGATTTCTTGGCTGGACTCTTACTGTAGCCATGCTTGATTCTATCCGTGTTGGAGCATTATCATAGATGGCATTAGATTCATTGGTTGAAGATTTGCTCTAGCCATACTTGATTTAATCTTTGTTAGAGCTTCATCAACAACATCAAATCTCTTGGTTAAAGTCTTGTTCTAGCTATGTTTGAATCCACCTTTATCAAAGCTTCATTAATAACATCAAATTTCTTGGATGAAATTTTGCTCTAGCTGTGTTTAATTACTTATGACACATCTACTTCAACCATAAAGTTCACATGACTTGTCTCTACAATAGAAATGCTATATTGTATTTTCTACTAATATTTGCAATGGAGTCAACATCGCTAGAAGTAGTATTCAACATTATTCTCTTGTACATTACCAAAAGCGGCATTTACCCACTCCGTTGGGAATGATACAAACATGTTCTACTGTAGCAGTATTTTTTTATACATGGCCAAACACGACTACATTTATCTGCACAACACGGCTGGGCATTTTTTACGATCATGTCCTTTACGGTGATGTTCACTGCTACATCTTTTGGCTCCCACCAATGGATAAAGAGCCTATTTTGCTACTTGACTCCCATCAAAGGACAACAAGCTGATCTGTATAGCTCCCAACGATGGACAACGGGCCAAGCATCTATTTCTACATTTCTTTATCATTGGTTCCCATCAATGGACAATAGGTTAATCTTATTACATTTACATAACTTTCAACAATGGACAAAGGACTAGATTTGCTATCTCATTTAGCCTTCAACAATGGGCAAAAGGTTACACATTTCTACATATCTTCATTACACTGGCTCTTGGCAATGGACAAAGGGTCAGATCTCTACACATTCTATCTTACTGGTCCCGAAAATGGACAAAGAATCAACGCAACTCAAGTTGATTAGCGTGAGGTCAGTAATAGTTGCAACCCTGCGGTTGGACAGGATGGCTACCCTTCGACCAATGTTTTTAAAATCGGACTAGATCGATCGGTCCGACCGGTTGAACCGCCACCCGATTGCTGAAACGGGCTGGGTGGACACCCAGGCCCGTTTTAGCCATCCAACTGCCCAAACCCAAGAAAATTGCTTGACTCGTCCAACTCGGTAGACCCGGTAAACTCGATGGGCGAATTCTCCCCTAAAGGTTGCAACTTTTTTTTTTTTCCTTCCATGGTCGGTTCACACTTAAGATTTGATGTCTTAAGGATTCAAACACATTACTTCAACTTTTTCAACTTTTCAATAGCTTTTACCACTAGAGCATCACCTTTAGAATTGATATCTTTGGCTCAAATATTTTTTTATTGTAAGAAGAAAATAATTGAAAATACCATTTAACGAATCCAACTTCCTTCAACTTTATCAACTTAGAGAGATATATTATTAACTTTTATATTGAAATTAATATAAAATTTATTTAATTTATGTTTTAAATGTATAAATTAAAGTATAATAAATGTAAATTCTTATAATAATTTAT